TTTTTTTTTTTTTTTTTTTTTTTTTTTTGTGCCTATGAATTGTTGAATAAAGTGCTCCTTTGTTGTTTATTCAGTCATCCCGTTTCCAAGGCACAGTTGTTCTCTCAGCTCAGCTCAGCATCATTTTCAATTTCCTTAATCACATCTCTTACAAATCTTCACGTTTCCACATCATTTTGTTGTTATCAATCTCATTATGCACGTATCATTTAATGTTAATAGGAATGAGCAGATCACAAGGGCCTTCATCACTCAAAAGAAAAAGGCCAGAACCAGCTCATGGCCATGGAGGAGCTCTCATTGAGCATGAAAAAGTGCTGTATGACCTGATTTGCAGCAAGCAAAGCATGGGGATTTGGATTGGGGACATGAAAAGAGAAACAAAGTATCCTGACAATGTGGTAACTAAATCACTCAAGGCCCTTCAAGGCAGAGGCCTGATTAAACTAGTTGAACACTATCAAAACAAAGGGAAGAAATTCTACCTGTCAAAAGATTTCGAACCATCGAAAGAACTGACCGGCGGTAATTGGTACAGCGATGGAAAGCTCGACAGAGAATACATCAGTACTCTTAAAGGGTTCTGTGCTAGAATGATACAGAAGATGAAGGTGGCTACAATTGAAGGGATCGTGGACTCATTCAAGAAGAGCGGAGCGTCCAAAGTGGACTTGTCTAGGGAGCAAATTGAAGAGATTGTAAATGCTTTGGTGTTGGACAATGAAGTGATGGAGGTGAAGAGCACTGGCGCAGGGGAGTTTGATTTTATTCCGGTTGGGAAGATTTGTTATAAGAGCTATGCTAAAGGAGTTAAAGGGGAGCCCAAAACAGGGGCTATGGCTTCTACTCCTTGTGGAGTCTGTCCAAGGATTAATCATTGCACCCCAAATGGCATCATTTCGCCTAGGACTTGTGTGTATTACACCAAGTGGTTAGAATTTTAGGTTTGAAGCTTTCTGAGGTTGGTTTTAAGAGAACGAATGGCAGAGAATTTCCCCTAACCATACGAACTATGCTCGACTTGGCAATTCTAGAAAAGTTTTAGCTGTCTATTCTTTATTGTGTTCATAATCTGATGCGGTTGCTGTTTCAATATTGACTCCAATCCGGCCGCATAGCTGAGGTCGGGTTAAAACATGAGCTTTTATAGGTATTATATGCTATGTGTGGTGGCCATCTTTATCCAAAGGTGCAAGTGGGTACTATTTTACATGAATCTTTCAACAAAACAGCCTCAAATGGGTACTATTTTACTTCAAAATTATATGAATGGTTTATGTAACCAAACGAGCCACCTTTTCAAAAAAGGGTGAAAATGATAGCTTTGGTGCTTTGGGGGAAACCCATTTATGACTCATAAATCATTCTCAAATTCTTGGTTTTGGTTTTGGGTCAAAATATCGATCAAAAGTCCATTGACAATTTTTTTTATTAGAATAATCTTTTATAACGTTTAACAGGCTGATTACATTATAATTAAGTATTATTAAATATATAAAAAAATTGAACAAATAAAAAAATAATAGTTATATATATATATATGTTAATTAAAATTGAATAGTTATGTGGATAAGTATGGACCTTTGGATTATGGTTGGTTTAAGATCTGATTGTTTCAATAAACTGATTTTAGTTTAGTATTTGAATTTAAATACACGGTAGAGACTCGACTCTATTCGAAGAGGTGCGTATCCTTTTGACTTTTAAGTTCAAATAAACTATTATTACGTAATTCATGATCTGTTTACTCTGTTTATGTATATATATATATATAGATAGATAGATAGGTTCGATTTGCGATTTAGTGAATTATAAACAATTTTGAGGAAAGTTGCAAACGATCGAAAGAAACGTGATGGCAGCATCAGAATTCTTGTTAAAACTCCTGCAAATTTCTACTTTTTGCGGCCTGACTGAGTCGTAGTTCGCTGTTCATCGTCCAAAGTCGCCGTTTAAGCGATGCAGTCCCAATCTCAACAGTGTCACCAGCGAAATGTTTCTGGATTTTCGTTTTCTTTATTCTAATTATCCATCAGAATCTTAAAAATTTGCGCATAAAGCTTTGTTCCGTGACAAAGGGGGAGAGGAATTCGATTCCTTTGTCGAACCGAGCTTTCGAGGAATGTAGCATATATATTTTGTCTGCTGTAGTGTTTTTTGAGGTGGTGCCAATTTGTTTCTTCTCTGCCTTCATGGATTCTAATGTACGAGCTCGTTTCACACTCGGCAAACAGTCGTCGCTCCAGCCGGAACGGCAAGGCTCGACAGCGGTTGCCGAGGAGTTGGATGATTCGATCGCGATTGATCCTGGGATTAAGCTGATGTACCTGTCGAATGATGGCGACTCGGATGGGATTAGAGAGCTGCTGGATTCGGGTGCCGACGTGAATTTTCGCGACATTGACGGCCGAACCTCTTTGCATGTTGCTGCTTGTCAGGGCAGGCCAGGGATTGTTGAGATACTACTCGAAAGAGGAGCGGAGGTCGACGTTCAGGACCGATGGGGCAGCACGGTGAGTTTTGGGATTCTCTGTTTCTGGTAATACTAAATTCAGATGGCTTCTATGTTTTTTGAGATTTCGAGATTTGCATACTGAGTTTATTCAACTTTTCTTGCTTCCAAATACAAATACAAAAGGGCGTAAGTTAAATGCTTGTAATAAACGATTCTTTTTTTTCCAAACGATACAAAGAGGGGCGGAGATTAAAGCCATGACAAGCCTTTCTATTGAGAAAGTGACGGATTGTAATTTTTAACAGTTCATGCATCTGTCTATTCAAGTCTTGTTAGTCTTTGTACTTAATCTCCATTTTCTGTTTCTATATAATACTCAGGGTTAAGAAAAGGGAATGGTAGAAGAATTTAGAGTTGTAGAATTTATTTTGTGTTTAATAGCCTCTTGCAGATGCCATATATTACAAGAATCAGGAAGTGATCAAGCTCTTAGAGAAACATGGTGCTAGGCTACCGGTAAGAAACTGTAATTCGCACAGGTAGTTGCTTTTACTCATTATCTGCTTCTCACCTTGCTATGTTCTCATTGTACTTACAAGTTGCTGGGAACATTCCCTCTTGTATTATCCCAGATGGCTCCAATGCTTGTGCAAAATGCTCTTGAAGTCCCGGAATATGAGATCAATCCAAATGAGCTTGATTTTTCTAAGAGTGTGAACATTACAAAAGTAAGTTGTTGCCTACTCCTTGCATTCACGCTAAATTATCGGATTTCTTTAATACATATTTTTAAAATTTCCGCTTTTTTTTTTTTTTTTTTTTTTTTTT